CTTTTTCTGCTCGTCTTTTTTTAACGTATACCCTTTTGAAAAGAGGAAAAGAAAAAGGGAGGAAAACGAGTTTTCGGACTTGTGTACATCCGCCGTGCGAACACGGATTCGTTGCTGAAACGCGTCGTTAGGGTCAACGTGACGGATATCATTATTCCCCCGTAGTCTGAGCACAAAACAGCTAAAACTTATCGTTATAATTTTCTCCCAGTCAATCTAACACTTTTACCAAAAAGAAAAGATAATTATACGAAAATGCGCCATTAAAGTCGACGCGGCGAATATTATTCTACAATGCGTATAAGTACACAAGTCCGACCGCAAAGCAGCTGAGCGCGGCCGGCAGAATTTTCTGCCAGTTAACCCTTTTGAAAAGAGGAGAGAGAAAAAAGGAAGAAAACGAGTTTTCGGACTTGTATACGTACATCCGCCGTGCGAACGCCGGATTCGTCGCTGAAACGCGCGTCGTCAAAGTTAAACGCGACGGATATTATTACTCCTCTCGCAGCCCCCGAAACACGTAGCAGCTGAACTTGTCCGTCAAAATTTTCTGTCAGTTATAATCTACTCTTTTGACAAAAAGAAAGGAAAAACGAGAAACGAGTTTTGCGTTTCTGCGTCGCGTGAACGCGAACGGATTCGTCGCTTAAGTGCGTCGTTAAAGTCCAACAGCGGCGGATATTACCTATTCCACGCGCATGCATGTCGTAGCGTAAAGCCAGCTCAACTTGTAACATAAAAATTTTGTCAGTTAATTTATTCTTTAAAGCAAAAAAAAAGGAAGAAAAGACGAATGGAGTTTCCGGGCTCGCGTTTCTCCGCAATGCGGATGTGGATTCATCAACGCCGAAATGCGTCGTTAAAGCTCAACGGCAACGAAACGTTACTCCCCATACGGGTTCGAGCGCGGAGCGACTGCGCTTGCCCGTCAAAATTTTCCGCCGGTCAATTTGTTCTTTCGTAAAAGAGCGAGATTCCGGATTTGCGTGTCTTCGCCGCGCGAGCGCGGATTCGTCGGTGAAGTGCGTCGTAGAAGCCAACGGATATTATTACTCCACATGGGAGTAATAATAAGCAACTATAAACCTGCTCATCACAATTTTCTCCTGGTTAATTTATTATTTCGTAAAATGTCTTTTACTGCAGAAAGAGAGAGAGAGAGAGAGAGAGCATTTTATCGGATATGTTGAAATAAAAATAATCTTGGTCAATAAATATCTCACCAACTTTCTATTTTATTAATTTAATCATTTCCCAATAGAGACTATTTTTGTCGAAGTTTACTTTTTAATGTTTTTATTATAGCAACGTATTAATATGCTCACAAAAACATACGCGAGTAAAAATATG